GTCTGGCATTCCGTCACTACGCCAACCTTGAGCAGTCACTATTCTCAAGACTGGTCAGACTGGGCGTTCCTACGGTCACCCTCGACCAGCAGGGCCGTGCTCGTGGTTCGATCGCGAGTCTTTACCAGTGGCGCTACCCCAAGCTCGGCAACCTTCCCGAGGTGCAGACAAGTGCTGAGTTCGTCAAGGCCAATGCCGGATTCAAGTTTGACTATCAGTTTATCAATGTGCCTGACTACAAGGGTCGGGGAGAGGCTGAACCCACGCCACACTTTATCCAGAACCTCGGCGAGGCCGAGTACGCAGTGGCCATCTTCCAGTACATGCGCCTCCTGGGTTACCCTGCTGAGAGGATCACTATCCTCACAACTTACGCTGGTCAACGGGCCCTGGTAAAGGATGTGCTCTCGCATAGATGCGCCCGAAACCCCGTCTTTGGTATGCCCAAGGCGGTAGCTACTGTCGACAAATACCAGGGCGAGCAGAACGATTGTAAGTGAAATGTTGTACATTTTATAGCAATTCTTCAAACTAATGTTCCCTCCAGATATCATCCTGTCGCTTACCCGAACGTCACGCGTGGGCTATTTACGTGACGTGCGACGCATGACAGTAGCTCTGTCTCGAGCAAGACTTGGCTTGTACATTCTCGGCCGCCGCGAGGTTTTCGAAGCATGCCCTGAGCTTCGACCTGCCTTTGACATATTACTCCAAAGACCAGATAAGCTGATGCTGGTGACGGGAGAGCTCTGGCCTACGCAGAGACAGGTCACTCAGGAGCCAGGAGCTGTGGAGGGCGAGGTACCTATGGAAGGCGTAGAGCACCTGGGCCAATATGTCTTTGAGATGACCAACACAAAGATCAAGCAGCTCGAGGCAGAACAGGGAGGACTACCTGAGACAATTATGGAAGAGCCTGAAGACGAGGAAGGGGGTTATGGCAACAACGAAGGCGGGGAAGATGAGGAAGAAGAGGAGGTCGAGGCAGACATCTTGGAAGTTCGAGAAGGAGAGTAGAGAGAGATACTGATTGAAAAGTCACTTGTGTATCATTGGGACGGCGCAAGACAAGACGAATTGTTATTACAAGGACCCATATAGCATGAGTACGGAGGACCTGAATCTATACGTATATCCTTGAGCATCCAACTGAGCCTCGCTGGCTCCTGGTTTGACTCGATTGGCGTGTGCTCATTAGAAATCGCTACGTATTTGCTACAACGGTTGAGAACAGTTGAACTCTATTGCCATTGGGTTGGGCGAAGAGCGGGTGATCGACAGTCTCCAGTATCCTAGTAAAAAGAAGAAGAAAAGTGCGAAAAGGCCAACGGGTTATGTTATTTCTGACGTTTCTGGCTATCGAACTTGTTGGAGGCTTCTGATGGTTTGTTTCATATATACAGGCCCTTACCGACTTTCCAGCAACTGCTTGGCTATATCGACTTGAGATTTGAAGTTGTTGCACAACGAGTAATACAGTTATGTTAAAGTTTGGCTACTCATACTTCCTTTCATTACTGATCATCGACGATCACACGTGCAATGCACATCATTACATCATGCATCAAAATGTCAAATTCTTCTAATTGTGACTGTGTCATTGGTTTGATTGCATCTCGTCATAATCAGACGACCAAAGTTCTGAGATATGGTTTTGTGTTTGACGTGGTTCCACGTTGAATAGAATATGAGTCGCTTATTAGACAGAAGTGCAAGTCGTGGGCTGTCAAGATAGAACAAACAAACAACGTATCAATGAACATTTTGGCTTGGGGAGGGCTATTCAGGTACACGTTCAACACAGATTGGGTGACAGACAGGGCGAGACACGTTCACCACAAGATCAGGGCTGCTAACAATACAAGGGACACCTCATCTAATCAAAGTGATACTTACCTATGTGAAGGAAGTTAGTGGCTGCAAATGATAGTAGCAACTAGCCTTTCCACGGGTAGAAAGGCTCTTTGGCTGCGTGACGACGATGCCAACGATCATGTTGCATTTGCTTACGAAAGAGGGAACAGCCGATGAATAATTAAATACCGATTGTTTTGATTGGTCACATAGTGTGACTCTTTTCTTGCAAACTCTCACATCAGTCTTATTAGTAGGTAGTAAGAATAGGCAGCCGCTTTAAGAGCAATGGTATAAAGCTCCTATCATCTGTTAGAGTTTGCAATTGGGCCAAATAACATGTTTGATATAGATAGAATGTTGGTACAATATCTGTCCGTCTGACTTTGGGTAATTGGGAGCTGCTTGTCAGAGTCACTTGAGTTGGAGAAACCTCGATAAGTGAACTTGGGGTATCAAAGGCGAATGAAATCATGTTTGCAATAATACACAAGGAGGGAGAGAGTCTGGCTCGGGTTTCCCATATGAGTATGAAGAGGACAAAGAGGAGAAACAATTCATCAGATTCAGTCCGTCCTACTGCAGCCTGCTAGAGTGATGCCTAGACCGGAGCTTGCGGACTTAGTATGATAGTGGTGAGCCAGGTGAGGTAGTGCGTGCGTATAGGAAGGATTCTTGCTTTTAGTGAGGTTGAGCCAAGTTTGACTCCGTTGGTATTGGGTAGGTATCTTCGGAGGAAAGAAAACTCTGGATCTTGATCCTAAATGACAAAAAGATTTAGGCAACTTGGTATGAATTTAGCATAAGTTTAGGATACCTTTTGCTGAGTTTATTTTGATGTCCCATATAGAGGCCCGATGTTTTCTTGCGTCCTGAGGGTAGGTAGTAAGTAGTATGTTGTTGGCTGGGCCGCAAGTCGACAGATCAGTGAGTTAGTCCAGTCAGCCATTCTGTGAGAACGAATCAGGTTATGCATAGTTCAAGTTAGATTGACTGCCAGTTTGGAGCATTGTTACCCTTGCAACCTTGGTCCGAATACCTAGGAAGACTTGGGAAGACTTGGAAGAGCACAGAACTGACTCCCTTTGGTGTCATTGCCCCTGATAAGTTAACAGTCAGATGCCTCGAAATAGCCAATATACTCCTTTACCACTCCCGACATGCCCCTTGTCTATGTATCTCTTCAGCAGATGCCCACGCCTGGCCCATGCGCTCTCACACCAGTGTCGCTCGTCACTCCACTCCTTTATGGACGATTCATTGTTATTCAGTTATCAATGGGAAGGGTTGGGCATGAGGCGTAGAAATCGCATGTTTTGACGACCATTTCGGAATTGCCGTTTGCCCCTAGCAATCTTGACATCCATTGCTTAGAGCTTAGGCATCACGCCCCTGTTTACCTGCGCTCATCCAAAAGGCCGTAGCAATCGTACTGAAACCATCACTTGCGGATCGCCTTGGAGATGAGCACAGACGAGCCGGCTCATCGGACTGAGGGCCCGCCTATCTCTGTCCTTGCTAGTTTGTGTTGCGTCGCTTGTTGGGGTTAAAGATATCGTGAAATCATCATCAATACGCCCGGAAAGGGCCTTGCAAGTATAATGCTGAGGGCATAGCATACATGTGTTGTATTGCATTGTTGAACTGACCGAAACCTACCTAGTCTGCCCCCTATGCCTGATGTCGTGTTTAGATTACAGGTATGTCAGTTTCATTGAGTCCAACTACTTTCGTGTATGCATGTCATGCTAGGCAGACCGAATATACAGTCATCTAAGCTGAGTACTCCCTGCCACATGGAAGTGAGGTTACTTGACAAAGTTGACGGGCGTCCAACGAAGACAGCCTAGGCGTCTCTGAATCCGTTGTAATTACTTGTATGCGCCTGTGAATTGGATTCGGATTCTCACCTTCATTCTCAAATTCTCAACAACCCTCTCCCTCATGGCACTTCTGACGAAAAGTTAAGGTGATAATGCAAGCAAGCCAATAGGACCGATGAATCTATGCCAAACTTTCATAACCCTTCCATCACTTGGACTAGAGGCGTAGGTTTTCATGCCTCTCGAATCTCTTATACCTAGTTAGTTATGTGCAATGTCTCAAAATATCCAGCCAGATTTAGACTCCGTTTATCGCCTTAACTAGCGTGCCCTCGCCCGCGGGGACGGGATTGACGTAGTGCTCTTTGTGGGCGAATGGATGGAGAAATTAGGTATGCGGCGGCGTCTTTTCTTAGCTGGAGGTCAAGCCGGGTTAACCAACCAACTCGAGACTGGATGTTTGTTTGGCTTGGGCTTGGGCTGTGCCTAGAAAGAAGAAGAAGAAAAAAACCGTGGGAGCGACGGTGTCCAACACATTCTTGGCAGTGATTGACACTGTATAGACTCCCTGAAAAGCTGTCACTGCCAGAACCCCTAACTGCTCTGTCGATGCCCAGTTACAGCTGACTCACTGCCCTGAAGTGCATTACCCACCATTGCTTGATTGCTTGCGAGCACAGTGCCCAAATCTTAAATAGTCTTGCCGGAGAAAGCCCTGTTCCCTCGCCCCTTCCCGTCAGTCCTTATCATATCCTGCTGCCCAAATTTTTTTGCCGGCTTTTTCTGAATCCTCACCAACTCAACCTTCTTGGTCCGGTGGAAAATATTCTAACCCGACCCATTTCCATTTGCTTCTGCTTTGGAACAACGTCCTGTGTGTGCTAAGACCATCACAGCGACCCTCTCCCCTCCGTTTCTTCTTCTGTCGCTGCCGCGCAGGATCGTACGTAGCTTGACCCGTCTTGTCTCTACGATCGCCTTCATTGGTACGACTGCACTCCTTGTTCGCTCTCCTGTGATCGATCGATTCGATTCGGCCTATCTCGACCTCTCGAGCCGCCCATCGGACTTACCGTCGTTTATTTCTGCGAGATCTCTCCGCCCGAGATCGCGGCGTTTCGTTTATTTTTTTTGTAAAAAAGGGAAACGACTTGTGCGTCTCGTCGTCGTCGATTCTTGTTGCCCCGCTGCAGCTTCGAATAATTCCACGTCCCTACCCGGCACCCGGCGCCATCTATCCCGCTTTCTCCCTCGACGCCCACAAAAAAAAAATATCCCAACACCACCGCAATCTCACATCGCGAACGGCACCGAACTCCCCATATGACGTCGCCTGCCAACCAGCAGAATCCCACCCAGGCGAACAACACCCCCGCGACTACGGCTTCTTCGTATGCCTCTGCTGCAGGTGCGCCTAAGAAGTCAGCCCAGGCCCCTATAGTCGCAACTGGATCCCACCCTCCCGCGGTGGTTGGAGTTTCGTCTTCTTCGCAGAATGCGAAAGACGCCTCATCGTCTCCTGTGAACGGCAAACCCGCCGTCACCCCCGCTGTCCCTGCTGTCACTCGCAGCAGCGCTAACCTCAACGGTCCCGATCATTCTCGCAAGAGTTCCGTCACCATGGCTGCCAACGGTCCGAACAGTTTTGTCGCCAACGGTGGTCCCGTCACTGCTGGCAAGCCTGGCATCCAGTTCGGTTACGACTCTCCCGCAATGACCAACAGCACACCTCAGACCTCCAGTGCTGCGCCCATTCCTATTCCTGGTGGTGGAAATGCCCGAGCTCCCTCTCCTATTCCCTCACCTTCACCTATTCCTCAGCCTTCAGCCAGTGGCGGTCGACCTCCTTCTGGTCTCCAACAGGCAGGAGGCAATACAATGACATTTGGCAGTCTCGGCAGCGATGGCGAAGTAGGTCCTTTCAGATTCGTCTGTCAAACAATTACCCTCGAACTCATCACTGACTTACTCTATAGCGCCACATGAGGCAGGGCTCTACTCCAACGAACCCCAATGCACAGCCTGGAGCTCACTTCCGACGTGAATCTGGCCACTCGGCTCAAGGTGACGGCGCTGGTCGAGGTAATTTCCAGCCACAGGCCGGTCGTGGCCGCGGATTCAATCACCATGGCGGCAACTACAGCTCGCAAATGGGATTCCCTCCCACCAACCAGTTCCGTAACGGTCCTGGTCAGGGTCGTGGCATGCCCCCAGCTTTCCAGCCTCAGGGTCGTAACCTTCAGTACCCGAACTCTCCTCAGCCTGCCCGAAGCCCGGCTCTCGTCCCCTCGCTTCCGGGTACACCTAACATGCAGCCTGCCACCATGCAGCCTGGCATGACGCCTCAATACCATTACCAACCTCCCATGCCTCAACAGCATCAACAAGTACAGTACCCCCTTTCCCAAGTTGATAAGCCTTTGTCGAAAAGCAGCAAAAAGAATAAGGGGAAGCGTGGCGACCTGGAAAAGTCGGTCCAGGTCAACCACCCACAAGAGTCGTCACGAGATCTGCATGGGAACGAGTTCAACCAACGTCGGCGTTTCAGTAAACGTTTGGATCAACCATGGCGAGAACCAGATACCAGCAGCTCGCGTGTAACGTCATTCAGCTATCCCAAAAAAACTTTCCAACCCCTGTCCTTGAATGAATCAACTCCGTCCCTCGACTTGTCACCAGGAAGTGGCTTCTTTGAATACATGCTAACTTTAAAAAACAAACAGAACTACGGTTATCCTCCCCCGCAGGTGGATGGTTTCGGACGCCCACTGTCGATGCAATACAATTATGCCAATATGCCGTATATTGTTCCTCCACAGGCTAACTCCCCTAGTTACGGACAGAACTACGTCACTCCCTACACACAGCATGGCCACAACATGTCACGAACACCCTCTCAGCCTGAGAGGCCACCGAGCGCCAGCCAGCCAAATGCTCCGGTCGTGGTATCATCTACTCCCCAGCCCCAGAACTCGTCATTGAAGCCCACCGCAAACAGCTTCGTCAAGGTGCCTAAGAAGAGCGCCGCTATCCAAATCAAGAACGCTGCCGGTGAAGTCATTGACACCTCGTCCTTCAAAACTCCATCATCTCCCGCTCCCAGCATCCAGCAATCCAAGACTCCTCCCGTGATTGCCTCGTCTACTCCCCCTCCAAAGCCATCAACCCCATCTCATGGCCGCACTGATAGTCATGCTGCCACCAAGACTGCTAAGCAGATTCAGGATGAGCTTAAGGAGAAAATCAAGCAAGCCACGCAGGCGCCGCCCAAGGAAGATAAGCCAAAGCCCGTTGAGCCTGCAGCCAAAACCGAAGACAAGCCTGCTGAGCAATCTGAGGCCAAGCTCACCGAGACCAAGGCCGAGCCTGCACCCTCTAATAAGGCTGAGCCTGAAAGCAAGCCCGAACCTGAGGCCAAGGCCCCTGAAGCCACTCCCAAGATTGAGGAGCCCAAGAAGGAGGCCGAGAAGCCTGCCGAGCCTGCCAAGAAGGAGGAAACTGAGGACGAAGAGATAGAGCGTATGATCCGCGAAATGGAGGAGGAGGATGCTCGCCGTGAGAAGGCGGAGGAAGAGCATCGTAAGAAGGTCGAGGCCCAGAAGGCCATTGCCAAGGAACAAGCCGAAAAGGACCGTGTCAAGAACGCTGCAGAGGAGGACCGCAAACTCCGAGAACAAGAGCGCGAGATGGAGCGTCTTGAGGAGGAGAAGGAGAAGCGACGCCAGCAGGACGGCTCATCTGCTCCTTCAGTCGCCGAACTTCTCTCCCAGGCTCGAAGCGGCAAGGACACTGAGCCTGCTAAGGTCGAGTCTGTTACCGACAAGCTTGCTAGCATGAAGATTGGAGGCGACAAGCCTGCCGACTCTGCTGCGCCCAAGCACGAGAAGCGAGGTGCGAAGCCTGCTGCTCTCAACCTGGCTCCTCTTAACACCAAGCCCGTTGAGCCCGCCCAACCTAGCGCCGCCCTGCAATCGCTCAAGTCTGCTCGTTTCCTGAAGGTCATCGAGCAAGATATTTACCCTGCTGGCATCAAGTCGCCCAATCCTGCTCTTAATGCAGCGGTCCAGAAGAAGGGCAAGACATTCAAGTATGATGCCAACTTCTTGTTGCAGTTCCAAAAGGTCTTTACTGAGCAGCCTTCTCTCGAATTCGGCCAGCAAGTCAAGTCTCTTATCGGGGATGACCGTTCCAGAACCAATACTCCTGGCGGCTCTGGCCGAGGCTCTCGTGGCCCCAGCTCAGGTATCGGCAGTGGATTTCCCATGGGTAGCTTTAACGCCCCTACCGCTTCCCGGCCTCTTCCCAGTAACAGTACCTCTGAACTCCGTTTCGCCCTTTCCAACCAGCAGCGACCTGGTATTGGTTCCATGGGCCGTGGTCCCAGCAATTTCCCTACAGGCGGCTCCTCCCGTGGCCCCTCTCAACTTCCCAACTCTCCCCGTGGGTCTCGTCGTCGTGGCGGCGGCAGCCAGCGTGGCGAAGGCGTCAGGGAAGCTCAGGCTGCTAAGACCATGCCTTTGACTGCTGGCCAGGAGCTTAAGCCCATTGCCCAGACCGCCAATGGTTGGAAGCCTACAAGTATTGGCAAGAATGCCAATCCAGCCGCCGCTACTCCCTCTGGCCATCTTGAGCCTGATATGGTTCAAAGAAAGGTCAAGGCGGCACTCAACAAGATGACACCCGAGAAGTTCGACAGAATTGCAGACCAGATCCTGCTCATTGCATCTCAGTCCAAGGATGAGTCCGACGGACGTACACTTCGACAAGTCATCCAGCTCACCTTTGAGAAGGCCACTGATGAGGCCCATTGGGCTTCTATGTATGCCAAGTTCTGCAAACGTATGCTCGAGACTATGAGCCCCGACGTCCGTGATGAGCGTATCAAAGACAAGAATGGCAACGTCGTCAGCGGTGGTAACTTGTTCCGCAAGTACCTTCTCAACAGATGTCAGGAGGAGTTTGAGCGCGGTTGGACCGTTAATTTGCCTGACAAGCCTGATGAAGAAGACGCTGCGGGCAAGAAGACTGCTGAGGCTGCTCTCCTGTCCGATGAGTACTATGCTGCTGCTGCTGCCAAGCGACGTGGTCTTGGTCTAGTCCAGTTCATTGGTGAACTCTACAAGCTCGGCATGCTTACAGAACGTATCATGCACGAGTGTGTGCACAAACTCGTCGACTATAAGGGAGTACCTGACGAGGCTGAAGTTGAGTCGCTTAGCAAGCTGCTCAGGACTATTGGTGGCAACCTCGACAGCACTGAGAAGGGTCGACCCATGATGGACGCTTACTTCCAGCGCATCCAGACCATGATGGATCTTCCCGAGCTTCCCAGCCGACTTAAGTTCATGCTCATGGACGTTATTGACCTGCGCAAGGCCGGATGGCACTCCAAGGAGACCAACAAGGGACCCAAGACCCTCGATGAAGTCCGAGCTGAGGCTGAGGCTGCCCAGGCTGCCAAAGCTCAGGAGGCTGCTCGCACTAACCAGCGAGGTGGTGGTCGCCCTCCTGTCGGACGAGGCGACGCTCGCAACTTCTCGGCTGGTTACGCACAACAAACCAGCAATCAGGTCGGAATGGACGACCTGCGTCGCCTGAAGGGCTCTGCCAACCGAACCTCAAGCGGCAACATCTCTCTTGGCCCTGCTTCCATGCTCTCTTCTCGTAGTAACAGCGGAAGACGCATGGGTCCCGGCGGCTACCTTGGTCCTCGCGGTGAGGATTCTGCTACTTCTTCACGAACTGGCACTCCTCCTACCCGCGAGAACACCTCTCACTCTAATGCATTCAGGTAAGTTTGACTGGTGCCATGTACATTCTGATCTGAGTTGCTGACATGTATCTAGCCTCCTTGCCAACATGGAGAATGACCACCCGGCTTCGCCCCCGTCTACTTCTGCCTCCCCCGCGATGTCTAAGGCTGTCCCTGACAGTGATAAGAAAGAGAGCGAGTAAAAGTATTCTTCTTCCTTCGGTGTCTTGCATTTCGGCAGAATAGACTAGGCGGTGCTGTGTTTTCTTGCATTTACAGGCCTTTTTTTATTATTTATTTATCAGACGTGTCACAAAAGTTGAGCACATTTTCTTTTTCCAGAACTCATGATACCTTGCCCATAGACAGACGGACACGATTCCTCTCAGCGTGAGAGGTGATCCCTACATCGGACTAGGGATTTCCTTCACCATTGTGCTCATTACCACCTACCTCAGCCCCTTTTCTGATCATGCTTCGAGTGTGTTTCAGTTCTTTAATGTTGTGGAGGATTTCCGGTTCAAGGGTTCGGGATGGCCCTATCGTTGTCGTTGGCCAGCATACTTCTGGCTGTTTTGTCTCCAGGAGAGGTCACGCACGAAAAAGGGGAGGTAATGATGGTAAAACAAAGCGTCACGATGATCACGTCGCAACCGTCATATACATACGTACGACTCGGGGTGGATGGCGGAGGTGGTGTTCAGGGCATTTGCGGTTGAATTTTATTTCGGACTCAACGAGGCAGAACGCGAAAGGGAATGAAACGAAATGGAATGGAATGGAATGATACGGAATGAAATGGTTTTCTCGGTGCATTCTTCCTCTCTGGCCTTTCGTTCGTTATACGTGGACAGTCTCTCGCCATGCTTTCGCCCCTTTGCTGGCTTTAGATGTTGCTACTTCACTTAACGCTGACGAATCACATCACGTCACGATGGGTTAGGAAAGGTTTCTCAAACAAGACCATGATTGATGATGACGACTCAGGCTCTCTTGACTTAGCCTCATGAGCATATGCATTGTTGTACCAAGAAGAAGGGCATGACCGCTTGCCAAAGGCTCTGTTACTTGGTGTGTGATGTATAGAGGCGCTCAGCCTGGTCGAGCTTTAATGAACGGGTCTTGATGATGCTTTGCTGTATATCATCTAATTTCGAAGAAGCATGGGCCATTCATTGGCAGCGACAATTTACATATATGTTCAAACTTGATGCCTCTTAATCGTGAATAGTAATCAAGTGAATGCTGGACACAGGGAAGAGGATGTCCTGAGAGAACGGCCGAGTATAGGGAAACTTCGGTAATTTTCAAATACTGTAACTTGGTACTAGAGCACGCAGCAGGCCTCGCTCTCAGCAAACCACTGAACACCACCAAAAACTCGCTTCGCTTGCTCTTGTGTATTCCAAAACCATTCATTACTTGCATATGAAGCTGTTGTCCCTGCTTTGCTAATCCCAAACATACCCAACCCGTGCAAATATTTAATCCTTAGAACGCCACTGGCCCAAATAACATACATGAACGTTTCACGGCATACCCATAAAGACCCTTCCACTTCCCCAACCAACTCAGGCCATTGGCTTGAAGCCCAGCTTGGTGAACAGAGTATCCATGGCTACCCATTGCCGGCCACACTTATCGAGATACTTGTCAACAACACCCTTCACATTTCCGAAGCGTACGCGGTTATGTTCAGCCAATGCAAGGATATTCTCCCGATCTTGCCTGGACATCTCAGTGCTCGTGGCCTTGGCCTTGGCCTTATCGACATCCCACAGGCTGGCAAAGTAGAGAAGCTGAGTATAGATAGCCTTTTCTGTATATTCGTAACGCATTCGACCAAGACAATCTCGGGCAAGTCCCTTAGGGCCAAGGCAGCGAGAACCATAAACACTCATCTGCCGTGTTCGATTGCCGCACTGGCTATCATCGCAGACCAGCCAGCCCTCGTAGTACCGACTTGTCTGAGCGCGAATGGCGTGCTCCATCTGGGCCACGACAGAGAGTGTCGAGATGGAACTACCACACGAGCCGCAGACGACACCGGATTGGGACACATGATCGGGGGACGTAGCCAGGCCCTCGAACACGGACGAGCTTTTGCACTTGCGGCAACGCAAAGAGAGGCGAGCACAATCACCGAAGCGGACCTCGTCTGGAATCTGAGAGTCCAAGGGGTGGATCTCAAGGTCGTTGCTTGAGCTGTTCTGCTGGGTTTGGAATGAGCTGTAGCGCTTGATATCAAGACCAAGGTGCTCTGCCAGTTGCGATGTTGATGTTCCGACAATATTTGCACAGAGACGCTCGACAGGGGGGAAGATCTGCTTGCCAATATACCACTCAACGTCAGGCAGTAGAGTAGGGTCTGCCTTGAGATCACCAGGAGTGTAGGCTCGTTTGGGAGCAGGCTCAGAGCTCTTGCTGTCACCCGTAATCACGTACGCGATAACATCTCCCTTGCGAACTGTCTTGCCTTTGGCCATTTCACGGAGAGCGACTTGGATCTGAGGCATGGAGTTGGAGTCGGGGTAGTCCTTAGGTGCTTTTCCAAGCTGTGTATGGATGATGTACTTCTGAACAGGAACAGTCTGCTCACGCATCTTGCCAGCAATGTCGCTCAAGTACTCATGGATTCGGGCGATTGAGACTTCGGTGTCGTCACCCGACAGAATCTCGTTAAGAAGGTGTTGGGAGATCTCCTTGGACAAAGCACAGTACTCTCGACGCTTCATGTCAAGACCCTTGACTTCCATCTTCTCGATGAACTTCCCATCCTTCTCTACAAGGTTGATGGCAGCATACTTCTTTTTCGCTTGAAGGAGAATACGTCGAAAGACGTTGTCAATATCGATCTCAAGCAGCTTGTACTGCTCGTTGACTGCTTTCTTGAAATCGTTGCCAACCTTGAACGCATCGGCAACATTGTCCACGTTGGCATTGATCATGACGGAATCAGTATCACCATAAATAACCTGCAGTGAGTTGCTCTCGGCCAGCTCCTTGGTGCTGCGGAGGATTTCTCGACCCTTGAAGGTTGTTAAAACAGCCAGAGGTCGAGCGTAGAAGCGCGACTTGGTATAACCCAAACATCCATACATGGAGTTGGCAGTGAGCTTGAGGGCAAGCTGCTTGATGTCCCATGTGGCCAGCTCCTCTGGGGTAGCCTTCTTGTCCTTCATGAGGCTCTTGACTTGTCGACGGCGACTGACGAGAGTAGCAATGAGCCTAGGTAGGATACCTTGATCCTGGTTGATTGGAACTTCGGGGACTTCATCTTCTTCAGTGTTCTGTGGGGTTGGTTAGTCTCGAGGTTCAAGCAGGAATACTCGGCAAACTTACGGTCGCTGGTCTATCGACAGTTGTAAAGCAGATGTTGAACTCCTGGATAATAGAGGGATAAAGGGAATTGAAGTCCATGACAAGCACAAACTTATCATATAGACCCTTCTCTGGCTCGAAAACCAAGCCACCCTTGTACTTGTCCTTCTTCTTTCCTTCGCCCGCCTCTTCTTCACGCTGTGCCTCTTCAGCACGCTGGCGACTGCGAAAAGTTTGCTTATCAGGGCAGATGTACTTGTTGCGATAGAACTCGTGTAGCAAAATGTACTCGTTCCGCTCTGCACGCGTGCCGGTCAGAGTTCGAGCCCAAGAGTTACCCGCCAGATTGGTGAGAACCTTGGTCAGTGGCAACATCTGAACACCTAGGCCCAGAGCTGCAATGTAGTGTGTATCGGCCTCCATATGGGTGATGTAGTCAAGAAGTCCCTGCTTCTCCCTGGCCCACGTCTTCAGGGCAACCTCATTGTCAAAATCGCGGCGCCGGTTATCTCCAGAGAGGTACAAACTGCACATCTCTGTCAGGCTCCATGACTGGCACTTGAACATGACCGACTTTCCAGCATCGTTGGCCAGATCACATAGCAGACGTCCTGACAAGATCTGGCGTTCGGCAAAAACGTTACCTCCAGTCTTGCCGATGGACGATGGCCACTGACTGCGACGGAGCCTGCCTAGCCTGGACCATCCGGGAATTTTCTTTTCATACAGACGATTGAGGAGCACGCTGTAGTCTACACCCTCCAATTGGTGTCCAAGAATCACATCTGGGTCTGCAACATCCAGCTGGGCCAAGAAGAAGGCGAGGATATCAGCTTCTTGCTTCTTCAGCACAATCAAGCCACGATTCCTTTTCTTCGCAAGCTGATCGAAGCCCATTGGGAACGCCTGGCCATGCGGCCGGATAACTGTAAAGGTTCGACAGGGCAGCTTTTCTGCCGGGGTTGTGTCACTGAGGGATACCTTCTCGTAGATTCTTGCACTGATAGCCAGAATCTCTTGCTTGTTATCCTTCTCATTAAAGGCAGTCCGTAGTGAGACACTCATAAGAGTCAAGGGAGGCGCATCGAGGTTATCAGACTCGCTAAGAACAGAAACCATGTTGGGGTGATCGGCCAAAACCTCAAGCTTGCAGTGGGAAGCATTCTTGAGCTTGTCAAAATCGGCATCCTCGATCTTAAGCCAGCATGGGCCCATGATATTCTTCCAGAGAACGAACTGTTCAAAAAGAGCAGTGTTGCTACCAAAGACGTGAGAATATGTCTCACCGGGTCTGTTGGGGTCGACTTCAGGCTCTGGGATACATGTTAGCCGCTTTGGGTGACCTACAGGAGGAATGTGGCCACTCACTGTTGTAGGGGTAGAGAAGTTTCATATACTGTGCTTCCTTGGGGACGTCACGGAGCTCAAAGGCATACTTCCTGGTGCATGCCTTGATCTTGTACATGCCAACATTCATCTTGGTCATCATGGTGTCAATCTCGTCATACACGTTCATCATCTCGACTTCTTCACCTGTCTCTTCGCCATCTTGCAAGCGGTGTTGACGTGGTAAGAAATACAGCTTTCTCAAGATGTTGTCGACTTTGACAAAGCAGCTGACGTATGATCGCGTCTTCTTGTTCAGAACTTTGCCAAAGAGACACAGATTGCCGTTGACCTCAGTGTAGTCTGTCCAGAAGAAGTTGAGACTGCCATCTTCCTCGATCGCATCCTTGTAGTCGATTTTGCCTATTGTCTTTGTTTCCGCAGGCGAGCTTGTGACGACGTTCAGCCTCTCTGTGAGGGCATTCCATGAAGCTGAGTCGACTTGAGCGCCGTTGGGTTTGACAGGAGAGGAGCTGGCAGGTGTGGGATATGACTCTGCTTTCTGAATTTGCTTGATCGGCCTTGAACTTGCTAGATTGACACTGGTTGTGGCGATGGCGCCAGCATGCGCAACCTCCATCATGTCTTCGTCGTCATTGTCTTCCTTTGGTTCCTGCTTAATCTGTGCCTTTCTCTGCGCTACCTTTGCGGCTGGAGAGGAGGGCGCAGGATCGCTCATGGGGACATCGGCAGTCTCGAGAATGTCATCGTCGGCGGAGGGAAAGAAGCCATCGTCATCTTCAGGGGCTGGAGGGAGAGGGGACGGTAACCGGGTATCGAGGGTCTTGGTCTTTTTGGGCACAGGCTCGGGAGCAGGTGAAAGGGCCCTAGCCTTGCGACGCCCGCCAGACCTTTCGACTCTCGAGGTATGGGGAGCAGGGGCAGGTATGTTGTTGTCGACCTCGCCGAGGAGGTTTGAAAGGAAGTCGTCGTCCTCCTTTGTCTTGACGACCTAGATAGAGAAATTCGAGTTAGTTGGGTCAACCCACGATGTCGTAAAGGGGTTCGTACCTTGGGTTTTGGCTGGGCCCTGTTGGCGCCCTTGAAGTATTCACTGATATCTTTGTCATTGGCCGCTCGCTTGGCTTGCTCCTCCTGACGATTCTTCTTCGCTACACGTCATGTGAGTATGTGGGCGGTCTTGAGCATGTCCTGGAGGAAGACTGACTAGTCTTACTGGGCCGGCCACGGACGGTGGCCTCTTCTTCGCTTTCTGAGCCATAGGCTTGTACTTGATCCCAGTCTTCGCGGCCATCATCTGCGTAGCCCTCGCCATTGTCGTCGACAACAAAGTCATCCTGATTTAATCGTTCCCGAACAACCTTCTTATATCCATCCTCGTCAACTTCGTCGTACAGATTGTCGACATCGGCAACTTTGTAAGTATCAAAGACTTTCTTGCCGGACTCTCGAAGAGCCTTGAGCTCAGCGAGCCGTGCTCTGTGAGACATGACGGGAGAAGAGTTTAGGCCGGTGGCATATCAGTGAGGCAATGGGGAGGAGAGCGAGTATATGCCTGGACGTCAATTCTTGATTATATGTTGCTCGTGATCGTATTGCAGGGAAATGAAGGTATCGAGAATGAAAACGGTGATGGGTTTGGGTGGAGGTGCTGCTTGGATTGGGTTGGTCCCCCGGTAACCAGCGCTAAGGTACTCCGTAAGTGCATGCTCATTTAGAAAAGTGGTCAGGGAGACGCGTCAAAGCGCGTTGTCCCTCCTGAGCCGCGTCTCGGCTCGTGTCGAGGGAGGGGCTATCTATTTAAGTGCCTGACGCGAGATCAGCCAATAGGCGCTACGGCATAGGCATCTTAGGTAATGCAGAATCTTCAAGTACCCCGCGCAGGGGGAGTACTTACTTGACGATGCATAAATTGTATCTTGCATACCTACGTAGGTATCTAGAGTATGAGGGATCAAGTGATTACTCTCCACGCGACTTTTCACTTTACGCGACCTGTTTCCTGTTAGTCCCGCCGAGACTCTTTTCAAGGATTTAACCAAAGGCAGCCGCTGCATGTTTACGACTGTATTTGATATAACGACCACTAAACAATATCCATTCCATTCGGGCATCGATTTGTTTATGCGTTTGCAGTCAGCCTTTATACACGAGTTGTTTCCTCAGTTGCCGCTCTTTCAATTGAAGTTGGTGGTAATTTAGGTGCTTGTGACTTAGTGCAGTGACCTCGAAGTAAATTAGATTAAGGTCAAATAAAAAACTCAAGTCCATATCATTCTTCTTCATTCAGCTAATCCCAAATCCATTGTGGCCGGCGTCCCGGTGCGGCCCCACTTACCCGGAACGGAGGATGACCCACATTGAACGGCATTTGATCAGATAATCAACCATAGCGACTCCCTGACCATGTATTGGTGATCTATAAGTTCAGCTTCTATGTTGATGAAATGCGGGTCGGAGCTGCATTCCAGGGCATCCCCTTTCCTGCGATTGGTTTTGTTACACTGCCTTTGGCAGTTAGTGATGCGATGATGATAATGGACTGGCCAGCAACTCACTCCTTCCTTGCGGATACTTTGTTGTAAGCTCTTCGCAAGAGCTACCCATGGCATTTGATTTCAAGCTCAGATAGAGGTGCCTTCCCAAAGTATCACAAACTCTCAACTTGTTCTTATACCTGAGCACCTTACCTAAGGCACTTACTCTGTATCAGTGGATGTTTTCCTACCTGCCTTGTAGCTACCTTAGCTATAGTACCTTGAGTACTAATCTACTAACCTACCTACCAAGGAAGCCTTTTTCATCACGCATCAGTCAAGATTGACCATCTTCGTCTTGTCACACCATCTATATCCGATCCCATCCATACCTTACGTTACTTACTTACATCATGCCCAACAGTATCTTTGGTGCCTGGCAGATGAAGCTCAAGAAAAAGATCCGACCTCAACCTCGGCCTCAGCCTCAGCCTCCAATTCCGCTTCCGTCCACTGAGCTTGCCAAGCCTCACATCAAGGTTAGCAGCTAGAGACTGCCACTGAATCGCCGCCGGGCTCGTCTGGATAGATCTGAAGAAACCAATTCTAGTGGGCCTAGCGAGGATACGTCAACGCGGCGCAGAAGTCAAAGATCAAATTCTCAGAATTCGTCGTATTCTCATCTTGCGCGTTGGCTGAAACCGAAACGACGGAAGACTGCTTCCTCTTCGACAAACTTCGAGAGATTTTCAGTATCTGAAGTCCCAGGACTGCCTCATCTCCTTAACACAGGTGGGTGGGCTAATAAGTACTCGCTTGCGGCGTACCTGACTATATTTTAGCGGAAGATCTCAGCAGCGCATTTCAATACTCCAGAGAGAGATGGGCTCGCGATGGGAGTTCCTCGAGTAACCATACACTATTTCCAATCAGGTCGCGCGTCGATATCGCTGAACTATCCAAGCCGTTCCAGCAGGACTCTGAATTTGCGCCCCCTTCAGCAGCCATCGACAAAAGCCCACCTCAGCTAGATCCGCTTCCTGACATGTCTAGCTGTAGCCTGGAAAGATCATCTACTTTACGAGCTTGCATAGAAGCGGCACCGGAGGATAAGAGTTTGGAAGACAAGTCGCTGCGCTCCACTACTAAGTGTGAACGCATCACAACTCATCCCAAGGCCTCGGCAGCACTTACACTACAACCTGTAGGGCGTAAGACACTATCCATCACAAGGCCCTTGCCCTCTTGCGATTTAGTTGCTCCTGCGACACTCGTCGGCTCCCTTGGCGGGTTTAACAAATCTGGAGGCCATAGCCACTGGCAAAGAGGTCAGATTTCGTCAAACTGGACTCAGGGTAATTCGGACAAACCACCATCGATGCAAGATCATCTCATGCAAGACCCTAGTCAGTGCTCGCCATCGCGGTGCACCTCGGCCACCACGTTTCAACCGCCCACAAATATACTTGAGAGTTCTTACTTAACTATCGAAGAAGGCGATCAACCATGAGCCACGGATTCATCAACGTCGATTACGCAATCGCAGCTCTCAGATCGATCATCCAGCCAAGGCAGCAGGTCAATGTATCCTATAGTGGCCTCGGATCTCTATCTTGATTCGTTGTCTCGATTCGAACTCAAGTGAAGTTGCTGGGCTTGATTGCCCCCAGGGTATTTTATTGTTTAAGATGACCTAAGAAGTAGTTATAAAGCTGGCTATAGAATAGAAGGTATTCAACTAGCAGCAGAGACTGACTACCTTTGTTACCTATTCTTAATCGAGACTAAAATAGAGCAGAATGGCAGAGTAACCCTCCATGTTCAGGCTTGTGATGGCTAGATATGACAAAAATTCAACAGGACCAAGGTTTCAATTGTGTAAGTGATGTATTGTACATGCAGAGAAATGCCATCGCCCAACAAAACGCCGCCATATGCTGTATCAGTACACATTCGCAATCCTTTTTTGCGTCTAAATCATACATACATCAGTTTAGTTTTACACGAGCCTTTCCCATTGGAAGCTCTTATTCATAGACCCAAGCACAACTCGATACTCCAATATGCAGGAGCCTTAACCTCGCGGGTTACCAAAGCGGCGGTCGGCCTTCCTGTCGTCACGAGTCGCGTCCCAGCTAGGACGAGGGCCCCGATAGCCAACGTAATCGGGCTGCCTCACTGGCCTCGTGCCGTCTTTCCATTGGCGTAGGTCCTTTTCTGGTATTCGCGTTCTGGGTGGCGGCTGGCTGTCTGTAAGGTATGTTTTGTACGAGAAGGGGGCACGCCTTGGAGGCTCGGATTCGGACCTTGAGCTTTCCTCGCGTTGATAGCCATTACCTGGGCCATTATCACGATGCGACTGCCTTCGGCCTGTCTGCTTTGGGGGTCGGGGTTTTCCTGCTTGAGTGGTGTCCCAAAAATTGGCCGTATTCATGGCCTCATTCTGTGTAGACATATCTTCCTCGGCTGTGCCACGACCCTTCGTCTTGCGCAAGTTGGGTTCTATTTCCTCCCGGTTGGCATAAAAGGCCTGAATCTCACGATTGATGCGCCCCCCGATAGGGCGTATTCTCTTGAGGTCTTTCTCAGGGAGCATTTCCTGCTGAATGACCTTGTTGAATGATCCATACATGATGCGTGCGAGAGCAATTACTTCGCGTTGATCATTGTAAAGAACCTTCTTTTGTTCCTTGGTCTCAGCTTTAACCTTTTTGAAGTAGTAATCGTGTAGTTTGCGGTAGGGCACCCACAGACGATCAAGCGCGTCGGTGATCTGGACGCCATAGGCACGTTTGGCACCAGCCACGTCCCCTTCCTTAGCACGAGCACGCAAGTGATAGTGCGTAGACTGAGAAACGTTGAGGTAGAGGCGCATGAGATGAGCGTCGGGCATTTCTAGGTGATTCATCATGCTGTCGAGCGCGCGGTTGGCATTCTTGATGACATTTGGGTTGATGTTATCACGAACACACGTTTCAAAGGCTATGCGATAGAAGTTTGGCCCAGTGATACTCGCCGGTATTATGTCCAGAATCTCAGTAGCATGACCGCTTGCTTTGGCTTGCTTAAGAATGCTAAAGAGGCGCAACCAGCAATCCCGGTCAGGCTCGAGATTGTATTCGCGAAGAATGAAATTCCAGTATTTGATGCCCAGGCTGTTGAGCTTCGTCTGCAACACAACCTTCAATATAAGAGACAAGGTGTTGTTACCAGGACTGACAAAGACGCCATTTTTATCCTTCTTGACCACTTGGCCGGTGTGAGGATTTGTCTTGCGTGCTTCCTCAGCTGACATTTCCTTGACTTTGGACAAGTTGGGTATGTTCATTGTCTGCTCAATGAGATCGAGAACCTCCTTTTTCTCAGTGATGTCACTCGAGATGATCATCATACGACCCATTGCGCAGACGAGCTCCTCGTCAATGGTCAGACGTCCTTGCCTCCATTTACTCATAACTTCTGACCAGATGGCTTTGGCGCGCTGAGTACCTTTTTTGAGATTGAACTCCTTCTGTTCAGGCGTCAGTTTTTCCAAGCCATCAAGCGTGTTGAATCGTATGGCATTGAGAACGGTAGTATAGGTGTAGGAAGTTGGAGCTCGAGTTGACTCATTAAGAGTATCGACGATGGAGAACATGGAGTCCAGGTCGCCCGCTCGGTTGCACACACTAAGCACAGCATTCAGATGAGTACTATTTGGTTCTAGGCGAGAGTCCTTGAAAAGGGCGTTATAGTGCTTCACAGCCTCGAAGACGGCGGTTTTAGGGTGGTTCGACTTGGCGAGACCACGGAACAGGGTTGTGTAGGTTTGCGCGTTAGGAAACTGTGCGCGCTTTTTCATCTTCAGATGATGTTAGTATCACAGGTGAGACAAGAACATGCATGAGGGCTGTATCTCAAGCCTACCTCGTTGAATAGCTTGATCGCTGCCTTGACTTGTTGCTGGTTGAGCAGATATTCCAATAGAAAATTCCATGACACGACCAATTGCATATCTTTACTGCCCTTTTGAACCAAAAGATGGGCTTGATCGAATTTCTTTGCTTCAAGTGCTTTTTTGACATATTCTGCAACTTTCCAAGGGTCATTGTTCAGATATTGTAACTCCTTGTTGACTGCCCGTTCCATTCTAAGGTTTTCTTTCTTCTTCCATATTGCGTCGTCAGCTGGGGCATCGAGGCTCTTTGGGGCATCTTTCGTGATAGCATCAGCTATAGAGTTTGCGTTTGCGTCTTGAGCCGTAGTCGTCTCCTGGGTAGTCGGTGTCGTCGTCGAGTTGAATATGCGCTGTGAGTGCCGAAACGAACGGGTTTGAAAAGCAGAAGCAGGCCGAATCTCTAGTCTCTTGCGCGGTGCGAACTGCAGAGCTCTCCGAAGGCACGCGCCTCCGTGCAATAACCTATCAGCCATGGGAGAGTTGCTGCTTGGTTACAATTACCTAGCTTGATCACGAAATTCCAGACATAAGTTACCCAAAATTAGAGGCGACCACCTAGAAAAAAAAAGACTCTTATCTTATCAGCTGAGCGAGGGGCGTTGCATTAGATGCGCTTAACTTTGCCGCGCTTGAGGTACCTTACCTTAGGTATCCATGCCATAGAGCCACCCCCTACCCCTGCAGGTCACTAACAACTCTCCCATTTCTAATTGGAGACGCGCTTCGCGGTCGCAGTCCAGTCTAGCCAACGTTTCTTTTCTTAACCTTTGTAGGGAGGGACAAGACAAAACAAGCGAATTGTTTGATCCTTCAAATATCATCAGTCATCCCTTGTCCTTCCTTCTCAACTCATCCATTTCTGCCGTATATTGATTTCCTTGATACCGCCTCCATCATGGCCAAGGTTGCTACAGATTTCGAAAAGATCATTAACGAGGGTAAGCAACAATCAATCTTCCCAAGTCCCTCGTGTCCCTCTTCTAACATCCTCTCAGGGCGTGAGCGAAAGAAGAACGAGGCCCTCGCCGATCGCATCTTCTCAAAGAACCGTCGCCAAAGCGCACCCTCCAAGCTCAAGTCCGCTCCAAGTCAATCACTAGCAAGCCGTGTCGGCATTAAGAAGGTAGCTACAGCAAAAGACAGGGTGCGATCAGTTGAAGCCAACATGTACAGCAGCGAACTTCCACAATCGACACCCGCTCGACCCGGCCCGCACCTGGCAATGTCAACGGAGAATGGACACACGATCTGCATCACTCCGTCTCTGGCGACCTAAGCTCCCGCATCTCAGCCCCTAATGCTGCTCATAAGAGAGCCAACAACCGCCGTGCTGCTCGTCTCTCCGCTGCCGTGGATCGCATGGACACTTCTGGTAACGTGCCACAACAAGTCAACATCGTGAAAGGCAAGGGCGGCGCTGGCAATGGCAATGGCAATGGAAATGGCATGGGGATGACAATTCGGGGTCTCGCAGGCCCCTTCACTATCATGGCACAAAACTTTGCCCCTGGTACTACAGCCGCTGATATCGAGAGCGCTATGACACCTATCGGAGGCGAGATTCTGAGCTGTCGCATTGTCAAGTCAAACCCATTCCTCCTCTTCGAGCTAGCCTTTGCATCGCGCGAGGGTGGTGAGCGAGTAATCGAGACCTTCAACGATAAGACCGTGAGTCCATCGGGACCAATTTTCATTCAGAACTCTTGCTAAAACTTGTTACAGGCTGATGGTAGAATCATCAAGGTCTACCCTAAGCTCGGAGCTCCTTCAAGCAATACCATTTCGTCCAGCAATGCGCCAAGAAACGCTCCAAGTGGTCCCCGTGGCACCCGCGGAAACAAACCCAACCCCAACGACAACATTGTTGATGGCTCGATGGGTTTCCCTGACTTAATGGACACAGCCACCACAAACGGCTCATCAAGGAACAACCAGTTGTACAGCGATAAAATCGTGGGCGGCAACCGACGAGGCCGAGGTGGTCAAAGAGGTCGCGCCGGGCGATGATAAAATACCGCCTTTCTTGTTCTTCCTTGATTACATTTGACGATTACTTCGCGAACTTTTGGGGATGTGATTTCTAGATACAGACTGGGAGGTACTTGTCAGCATTGAAAAAGCCGCGCATTTTCACGGTGAACCACAACAATGGGAGCAGTGGGTGTACGAAATGTTGGGCTGGGCGTTCGGGGTTTCCACGTCCAAAGTGGGCTATTAAAGCTAATCATTTCATCTTATCTCTCTCTCTATATATTTCGGATACCCCTAAAAGGGGGAACCTGTTACGGCCATGTGGAAGCGGTTCAGTGTCCCAGCTCCCAGTCATTGTATCACTTGAGGATGGAGAACCATTCGCTTTCATCAAGGGTAATTCATGATTTTATGCCTCGATTCGTCCACCCAGAAATGACCCCTTTGAAGCCGCCCACACCCAAATAATACCAATACAACTACAAGATGGGAATTGTAACCCAAAACCTTACCCCATGATATACCAAGCGCGGTCCGTCCGCATCATACACCAACAAGTCAAGACAAGCATAACAATATCTACAGCCAGGCCCCACTAGGCA